TATATATAATTATATGGTACCCCCCCCTCCCGGGACCTACCTTTTTTAAAGCTTGTATTGCTCAGCTTGGTCTCGTGGGGTTTGGGAGAGATAAAAAAATATAATATAATATTAATGAGGCTCCTGGAGGGGGCAATTTCAAATGCCCCTTGGATCCGAAATTTTCTAAGTACAAAGGGTGCCCCTGTACTTTGTCTCCCGGGCCCCCGGGGGCCACTTTAAAGTACTTTAAAGTGGCCCTGGATCCAAGATCCAAGATCCAAGATTCCCCAAAAAGTTTTTTTAGAATCTTGGATCTTGGATCTTGGATCCAGGACCACTTTAAAGTACTTTAAAGTGGCCCCTGGGGGCCCAAATCGTCTAAATGGTGCCCCTGTACTTTGTCTCTCGGGGCCCCCGGGGGGCACTTTAAAGTACTTTAAAGTGCCCTCTGCAAGCCCAAATCGTCTAAGTACAAACGGTGTCCCTGTACTTTGTCTCCCGGGGCCCCCGGGGGCCACTTTAAAGTACTTTAAAGTGGCCCTGGATCCAAGATCCAAGATCCAAGATTCCCCAAAAAGTTTTTTTTGGCATCTTGGATCTTGGATCTTGGATCCAGGGCCACTTTAATGTACTTTAAAAGTATCCCCTGGGGGGCAATTCGTCTAAGGAGAGAGGCTCTGGGCGCCATAATCCTCAACATTTCAATTGTATAGCAACTCGATACCTGCACTCAGGTCGTAACCTTCAATCTTTCAACCAAAACAGCAAAAAGGATTGCCCCTCCCTCCCCCTCCCTCCCTCTCCTGTCCGCTCCGCTCCGCTGCGCTCTCTGGTCGTTTGTTAAGGGCTTGTTCAAGGCTGATAATTGAAACCTTATCGGTTAAGGGATTAGGGTTTGAACCAAAGGCCCGAAACTCTAAAGGATTTAACCCCTAAGCCTTAAAGCCTATAGGGTTTAGGCTCAAACCTTAAACCCTAAACCTTTTAATCATACATAGGGTTTGAAGGTTAAGCAACTAGACTTAATCCTTAATCGTAACCCTTTAAACCCCATAGTGAAGATCTAAAGGTTTAAGGTTTAGGCATGTAAAACTAAGCCGGCAAGTAAACCTACACCCTTGGCCTTTACGCCCTGGGGTTAAAGGGGTTAAGGTTGGGTTCGGCCGGTCCACACTAACAGTCAAATAACGCCGTGGCCTTATAACACACAGGCCAAAAATAGCACCAGGAATCCCAGTCAATTTTAGCATTTACCGGGTGCTTATTTTTGTGGGTCTGCTGGTGGTGACTGTTAGTCACATAGCACCAGCAACAGCACCAGAAATAGCACCAGAAATAGCACAAACAATAGCACAAAAAATAGCACCAGAAATAGCACAAACAATAGCACAAAAAATAGCACCAGAAATAGCACAAACAATAGCACCAGAAATAGCACCAGGAATCCTAGGCAATTTTATCAGCTTAGCATTTACCGGGTGCTGTTTTTTGTGGGTCTGCTGATGGTGATTGTTAGTCACATAGCACCAGCAACAGCACCAGAAATAGCACCAGAAATAGCACAAACAATATCACAAAAAGTAGCACCAGAAATAGCACAAACAATAGCACAAAAAATGGCACCAGAAATAGCACCAGGAATAGCACCAGAAATAGCACAAACAATATCACAAAAAATAGCACCAGGAATAGCACCAGGAATAGCAGGAATCTCAGTCAATTTTTTGGCATTTACCGGGTGCTTTTATTTGTGGGTCTGCTGGTGGTGACTGTTAGTGTGGACCGGCCGAACCCAAGGTTAAGGTTTAGAGGTAGAGTTTAAACCCACGTGTTTAAGGCTTAGGCATTTACACGTTGACCCTAAACTCTTTAGGTTCAGAGCCCGAAAACCTTGTAGGACGCGAAAAGGTTCAACGGTGTTAAGCCTATAGGCGCTGATGGTATATTTGCCCAGGCCTTAGGTTGTTTGAACCATTTAGCCCTATAGGGCTGGGCTAAAGGTTTAAGGCTTTTCAGGGTGTATCTCTAAAACCCTCACGGGGTTAGCCCTCTAGGGGGTACATCCTACAGGGTAAAAAGTCTAGGGTTTAAGATTCAAGCATTGCCTGTAGAATCAGAACCTTACGAACCTCCAGGGCTTGGGGCATAAACCCCTAAACCTTAAATCCCATAGGGTTATGCCTATGTTCGTAGGGCTTGCCTCCTGTGGAAATGCAGAGAGAACACAGTATACGTACTCACATCATGTATGTACACGGGGTATATGTCTTGTAAATCAAATACAGATGATGGAGAAGGAAAGATGGCAAGTCTAGAATCATAAGACTAGGAAGTATTCGAGTGCATAGGGTGATGCGAAAAGTCATTTACAGTAAGTGTGGGGGACGTGAGAATACTGTGAGCAATTATCCTATCCCGCTCACCACCCTTAATGTTTCCCGCAGTCCAAAGCAACCGGGTATCAAGTCCGTATTTGAATTTCCCATTAAAGGGTCATACCCTAAAACGTTGTCATTTGGAAGTCGTTCAGCTTAACGTCTGATAAGAACCTGTTGGGCTTCAAATTCATATTTAAACCAAATTGCTAATAACAGCCTACACCTTAAGTGAACTTCCTCTGAGAAGTCTTCTGGCCTCGTTCGTAATATTAATAGAAAAAAAGAAATTCTAAGACTACCCTGTCCAATCCTGCTCTGGGCCTCGTTCGCATGTGGGTTGGCTTCGATGTTTAAATTTAAATTGCACACCTTCTGCAATCCTCTTACGGGGCCTGACAAAACAAGATGTCATTAGATCCTATATTCAGAGGTCACAGCCTGAAACCCCCTCATCTGGGCTTGCTTCGTAAGTTATTGAAAAAATGAGCTGAGAAAAGAAGGCCACGCACTAGGAAATTATCGTCTGGGCTCTGTTTGTGAGTAAACCGAATTTTAACAAGTACATTAACTGGCCACAGCCCAAGACATCCTTGGTATGGGAAATACATCTAGTTAACTTAGTTAACCGTATATTAAAGACCACACGGTATCACATCCTCCTCTGTCCCCCTATTCGCATAGGAATTTATTTGGAATTTTAAGTTCTAAGGCCACACCCTGAGACATTCTCATCCGAACTTCGTTTGTAATTCAACTTGATGGATTAGAACTTCAGAAAAATTATCCAACAACACTCGAAAAGGTAGGTCCCGGGAGGGGGGGGTAGCAATTATATATATATATATATATATGCTACATCCTTCAATAAAGGGCTAGCTGAGCTGCCATGGTAGTGTGCCAGGAGTGGCGCTCTCCAAAACACGTGGGAGCACAAAGGGAAGCAAGACCATGAGCTGCATGGCGAGGGGAATCTCCTTTCGTAGGCTCTCAGGGGGCTTCCCTTCAGATTCAAGCCTTATAGGTTGGGATGTTCTCCCTTATACTAACAATCCTTAATAGGGAATCTCCTTTCCTAGGCTCTACTAGGGGAATGAGAGGTACCCTATACAATCCCTTATAGGGCCCGAGTTCCCTCATTCCCATACTGAGAACCAGGGGGTCTAAGGGGGCTTCCGATTCAGGCCTTAGAGGGTTTAAAGGATTTCAAGCGGTCAGGTTCTCAAGGGCTGAAGGAGTCAAGGGGGTGGTCTGAGCACATGTCGTGCTCTGCTGCGTTTCGGGTGTCCTGCGGCGGGAAGTCCAGGAACGCCGGCGCAAAATCTGCCACTTGTGCCAAAATGCTCACATGCCAAGGCTGCGGCAATCGATGCTTTAGGGGGAGGGGGGGGATCAGCAGTCGGATGTATAGATTGCGGGCTCCATTCGTAAGGTGGTGCTTCCAGATAGATGGATGGTTCAACGTTCTTATCCTGAACAACTTCTTGCCAAGGCCCTTCACAAGCTTCCGCAATCCTCAACCCTAAGCTCTCCATTACAGGGTTTATGGGGTTTACAGGGTTAGGGCGTGAACCGTCGCTTCTGAAATCCTAAACTCCCAACATGTGATCCTATACTAAACCCTAAGCCTCAATCCTGCACTCTCAGCACGAAACGAAAGCAAGATCTCAAGGCCCTTTTCACAAGTCTGCCTAACGTTTCCATCCTCCAGCCAGCAACTTCCGTTCCGAAGCCGTGCGGAGATTTGGGGCCGAGGTGAAGCACTTACAATGATCTTTCCTGCTATCGTTACCTCCCGAACGCTCCCCGAACACTCCTCCCGAGTACTCGCGGACAGTCCTGAACATTCCGAACAGTCTTGGACACTCCCGCTCCCGGACACTCCCGAACACTTCCGAACACTCGGTGTGATCTCTTACTTTGGTGGGGATGAAGGGCAAGCACTGCACAAGCATTGGTACCCTGGAGGCCAGTCCTGTTTCTTATGCATCCATTGCCAGTGCTGATGGTTGTTAGCCTTCGAAAGATGAGTACCAGGTAACCGCAATGTAGCCAACTCCAGGCAGGCGGTAGGCAATGCTATGTAGCCGATTGCTCAGGCAATGCCCCTGATTCAGGCCATATAAGTCCTTGATAGGGATGATCATCGGGGGTACCCGTAAAAATCCCTATTAAGAACTGTTCATATAAGGGGAAACCTGCCAACCTCTTCTAGGGTTTGTAGGATTTCGAGCGGTTAGGTTCTCAAGAAGGGCTGAGGGTTTAGGGTATAGGGTTTAGGGTGTCGGCACCCGACCCTTCTCTTATGCACTTCGTGTGTCTTGCAGCGGGAAGTCCATGAATGCAAGGCGCAAAATCTGCCACTTATGCCACAAGGCCGGTCACATGCCACGGCCGCGGAAATCGCTGCTTTATTTCTGAAAAACCTAACTCGCAACACACGATCCTAAACCCTCAGCCCTCAATCCTACACTCTCACAGCATGAAGGCCCGAATCCGAACCGCCTGCGTGTTTCAGAGGCTGTGCCCTTAAATAAACCCTCAACCCTCAACCCTCAACCCTAAACCCTAAACCCTTAACCCTAAACCCTAAACTACCCTCAAACCTACACCCCAAACCAGGCCCTTAAAACAGCTTCCGGCCTCTTGTGCTCCGCGCAGACGTGGACAATTTGCTCGATTGACTTGCTGACGGTGAGGGTGGAGGCCAACTCGCTGCTCCTGCTTCGACCTAAACCCTAAGGGTTTAGGGTTTAGGGTTTAGGGTTTAGGGTTTAGGGTTTAGGGTTTAGGGTTTAGGGTTTAGGGTTTAGGGTTTAGGGTTTAGGGTTTAGGGTTTAGGGTTTAGGGTTTAGGGTAAACCCGACAAACCCTAAACCCTCAAGACAAAATAGATAGACATTGTATGTGATGTCGCTCTGAATTTTCCATGTTATTTGTCTCAACAGCTGACAAGCCGAGTTATAGGAACTTAGTTCAAATCGCTTATGGCAAGCAGAATATTCATGCACTTCAATTCATTCACCCCCCCAAAAAAAAACTAATCCGAATTAGACGAACCTCAACAACAGGTACCAGATTGTGGAAAACCCCCCGAACCCTAAACCCTAAACGCCAAACCCTGAACCGTAAACCACGAAGGATTTCACGTCTGCCGAAGGTCTGACTTGAGGTGAGGCTGGCCCAGGGAGTTCAGGGTTAGTGCCTTGAGATGGCAAGGGTTTAAGGTTTAGGGTTTAGGGTTTAGGGTTTAGGGCTTAGGGTCTAGGGTTTAGGGTGAATGCTTTAGGACTTACGTCATGCTGAGACTGTCCTGCTCCCGGAAGCCGCTTCAATTCGAGCATCACCTGGCAGCAGCTCTGCGATCTTCGCAGCTCTGACGATTTTGGCCCGATGATTAGGGTGTAGGGTGGAGGGTTTAGGGCTTAGGGTTTGTAAGGTTTAGGGTTTAGGGTTGTGAGGTTTAGGGTTTAGGGGTTTGGGGTTTAGGGTTTAGGGTTAGGGTCCCTTTTTGGGTACCCTAGGTATCAGCGGGCCGCCTTATCGGAAGGAGTCCGACCATAAGTTAGAGAAGTGACCAGGTGAACTTTTGGATCCCGGATTCAGGGTTCAATGTTCAGGGGAGGTTCTTCCTTCATTTGTTCAATTCTCTTCTGGTTGAACTCCCACTTCTCAACGTGCTGCCTTCCCACGGTAAATAGACTCAGACTACTAATGGTAGCATCATCCAGAGGCCCACAACCCTAGATCCATGCAGCTGCCCCTGCTGAGGCAGCGTCGTGCAAAGCACTGACCCAATCAGACGCAGAAACCTTCAACCGAGCCTAAACCCTAAATCCTAAACCCTAAACCCCAAACCCTAAACCCTAAACCCCAAAGCCCTTGGGGCAACCTTCCTGCAAAACGGCAGGAGAGGTGCCACTCCTACTTCTGAGGGCGGCGCGAAATCTAACTAAGGATAAAGGCAGAGTGAAGACCTTCCTGCAGACCAAACAAAAACACCTTACAGTGCCTTACATGCCCCACTCTAACCCTAAACCCTAAACCCAAAACCCTAAACCCCTAAACCCCTAAACCCCTAAACCCCTAAACCCCTAAACCCCTAAACCCCTAAACCCCTAAACCCCTAAACCCCCCAGGTCCTTGAGTTGCTGGCTAATCTGATGACCCCTCAATGAGACCTGTAACGCAATCTCCACATCGCCGTTCCTTTGCCTTGTTCTGCAGCTTCCTCGCCCTCTTCCGCGCCACCGATGTCGACGGCACCGACGCGAATCTCGGCTTCAAGGTGTTGGGTCTAATTTAGGGTTTGGTGCTTAGGGCCTAAATCTGAGGCTTGTCACGGGGGATTGGAGCCCCAAACTCAACCTCCCCAAAAACCCCTAAACCGGGTTAGGGTTTGGGCTTTCCTGGAACCCCAGGCAACTTGATTTTGGGCTTCTCGCACCCTTGGAACTCTAAATCTCTCAACAACCTTAGCCCCTCAATACCTTTGCCCTCCCCAACCCTGGAGTCGGAGCTTTGTTGCGTGGTCTTTGGGATGCTAAGATGTGCTTGTGTGGATGAGTGATTAGGGTTTCGGGTTTAGGGCTTTGAGGGCTCTGACTGTCGGGTTGAAAGTTGGGGTCTCGGGGTGACACGGTCCAGGTTTGCCAGTGTCGCGCGTACGGTGCCTTGCTGTGGTATCTGCAATAGGATGTCCACTTTGCGCGGCCGCACACCACGACCGTCAGCCTTCACCAATATTCACCAACGCAGGCGCACACCACCCCTCTTGGGGACCCTAAGCCCTACAGACCCTAAACTGTTATTTGCTTAAGAACCCCCCCCCCCCGCCCGATTCCCTACATTGCCCTGATAAGGAAGCATAAGAATATTGATTTTTCTTCTTCTGTTCTTATTTAAGTTTTTTTTTTTTTTTTGGGGGGGGGGGGTCTTAATAAGCAACTAGTATAGTATATCCCCAAACCCTAAACCCTAAACCCTATAAACCTTAAACCCTCAGTCCTGCTTTGACACGACACGAACTTACGGCGTCAGCGCAATCGTCCTCTTTGGGGGAGATTCAACTTCAGGGCCTACAAGCATCAGGGCTTAGGGATCAGGGTTTAGGGATCAGGATTTCGGGATTAGGGTTTAGGGTTTAGGGATTAGGGTTTAGGGATTAGGGTTTAGGGCTTAGGGTTTAGGGCTTAGGGTTTAGGGCTTAGGGTTTAGGGTTTGTAAGGTTTAGGGTTTAGGGATTCGGGTTTACAGGTTTAGGGGTTTAGGGTTTAGGGTTTAGGGTTTAGGGTTTAGGGTACCTACAGTACTCTTTAAAGACAGGCTTCTACCAAGCCACTCTGCGGGCAAGGTGCGACCACCTTGTCCTTACTGGTCAGCCAGCGGTCCGCAGCCTTCACGTCTCGGGCCCCAAAAAACCCAAAGGGTTTAGGGTTTAGGGTTTAGGGTTTAGGGTTTGGGGTTTGGGGTTTGGGGTTTGGGGTTTAGGGTTTAGGGTTTAGGGCTCGCCTGGCGCAGGCGCAGTGGGAAGGTGGCCGAGAAAAGAAGGCACTGGCGGTCCCGTCGGATGGCCTGGTGGGTTGAGGCTTCGGGATTTAGGGGTGTAGGGGCTTCGGGAAGGCGCTAAGGGGTGTAGGTTCAAGGGGGTTTTAGGGTTTGGAGCCCGCAGCAACCCTGAAGTCTAAACCCTGAACCCTGAGCCTGTATTGTAAGTTGTTGGGCTTTCAGGCTCTAGACCCGAGGCCAAGACGCACTCTTAACCCCCTCAAGCCCTAAGCCTGACAAGAAATTCAGCCGACATACCTTGAGTCACACAAATTCCTCGATGCTCAGCTCGCACTATTACACCCTAAACCCTAAACCCTAAACCCTATACCCGACACCCTAAACCCTAAAACCCGGAACCCGAAACCCTAAACCCCAAATCCCTGAACCCAAACAATAAACTTCTAAACCAGAACCCTGCCCTCAGCTGCCCTTCCTTTGTCATACGCTGCCCAGTACCCCATAAACCCCAAGAGCATAAGAAGGGTGTACGTCTTTAGTCAAGCCCTCCCCAACCCCCAAGAAAACCTAAAATGGTAGTATGAAGGGCATTTTGGCGGACCCTACGGTTTGGCGGAGGCTTGGAGGTGTTAGGGCTTAGGGTAAACCCTAAACCCTAAACCCTAAACCCTAAACCCTAAACCCTAAACCCTAAACCCTAAACCCTAGGGTCCTGTCCTTGGCGATGGCGTCCAGCTGGTCCTCGAAGCCCAGCTGCAGCATTTTGTCGGCCTGCGGCGTGCTGTGGCTTGACATGCACTGTGCTCTCCCAGACAAGGCTTTGGGTTTATTGGCAGGCGTGTTAGGCTTTCTTAGATCTTTTGAGGGGTCGGCGCTTGCTATCTCCGCAACTTCTCCTACCATACAGGATTAACCCCAAGGAAGAAGGGGACTTCCTGATTGTAAGGGGATCGTACTATGCGGACATCTACATTGCATGTTCCGTTACTATCGTAAACCCCATTTGGCGCTGGCCTTCTGTGAGATTGTAGGGCACAGGCTCACGGCTTTCGAACTGACGTTGACATCGTGTTCTGAATTTGGCTCCACTTCAAGTGCCATTTACATGATAAGCCTCCTTCTAAACAACCCTAAGCCCTAAAGTAATTCGGGGAAAAACATGTGCAGGTTGCAGGGGCCTATTTGGGCTTGGTTGAGGGATCGGCACTGGGGCCAGGACAAGAACTTCACACTGAGCAAGCTGCTTCTTGTTTTCTGCGACCTCCTGATGCACCAAACCCTAAACCCAATGCCTCCAACCTTCAAAGCCAAAGCCATGTTTTCGGCCAAGCCTCAATCCCTAAAACCTCAATCCCTAAACCCTTTGGTCGTAAAGCGCTGTAACCCAGACCCTGGGAGGATCCAACAAGCAGAACCAAATGGTACCCTATACCATTGGGTCATTCTTCGGAACTCTTAAGGGGATCTAGTTTTCGGATTTTGTCAGGGGTCTGGGCAGTGCTTTCAGCACCAAAGCTCCCAACTCCTCGGATAGACCCTAAACTAAACCCTAAACCCTTAACCCTAAACCCTAAACTCTAAACCCAAAACCCTATAAACCCAAAACCCAAAACCCTAAACCCAAAACGACCTCCCTGCCTCGTCCAGCACGAGGAAGCTGACGCTGGCCAGTGTCAGAGCACCCAAGCCAAGAAGGTCCAGCCTTGAAGAAGAGCAGGGGGGTTTAGGGTTTAGGGCTTGGGGTTTAGGGTGTAGGGTTTAGGGTTTGGGGTTTGGGGTTTATGGTTGAGGGTTCAGGGTGCTGGTGTTGAAAACTTAGGGGTTGGGGGGGAATAACTGTCTAGGGTTTAGATTTAGGGTAGGGATCAAAAGCGGCTTGGGGCTTAGGGTTTAGGCGGCTTAGGCGGCTGCTGAGCCGGGTTTCAGGCGGTTGGGTAAAGGGGGTTCTCCAAGTCTGTGAACAATTCATAAGAGGAACCGAGCCTCTAACGACAAGGCAAACCCCAAGCCCTAAACCCTAAACCCACACACTCAAGATGCCCTGAAGCCCAAGTTCCAAGCCCTGCCACACGGAACCCGAAGACCTTAAACCAGAGTCCCCTGCTCTCACTTCACGGCCCAGATGTTGGTAGGGGGTCCACGTTGAGGGGCTGTAGGGCCCAGATTTGTTCAGGTTTGTGTGTTCAGGGTTCAGGGTTTAGGATTTAATTAGAGTTTGGGGTTTAGGGTCTGTAAGTACTAAACCCCTCAGAGCGGTGTCTGGGTATGTGGCAGTCGTCCAGGCGTGGCTGCCAAGACCTGTGGCTTGCGCTTCTGAGGTTCAGCTTGCTGCGACCCCTTCAGACCCCTTTCGCTGCTACACAATCTTGTCCCAGTTCTCCTTAAGCTCAAGAATATACAAGGTTCAGATCGGACAAGAATATACATGTAATGATAGCAGGCCTGGGCAATCCCCAGTGCGATAAGGTATATATCGTGCGATCAAGGTTTATTGGGGGGTTCGGAAGCAAACAGTAGTTAAGGGTTGCGGGATGTAGCCGATGTCCACTCGTTCTTCGCATCCGGCGAAGGCAGATCCTGAGCAGTAAGGCTGTGGTTGCCCCATTTAGCCCCTAAACCCCAAACCCTAAACCCTAAACCCTACACCCTAAACCCTAAAAGGTAAGGGTAACCTAGTTCATGGTTGGGATAGAATTAAAACATTAAAGTTCTATTCCTTATTGAGTCTAAGTACCCTGAATTTTAAAATGTCACCCCACTATGACAAAGTATCCTACTTGGGATACCCTACGAGCCTCCTTACAACGACCCCTGAACCTCCAAGTGAGCTCCCTCAAACCTACGAATTGCTTAACAACCCCCTTTTGGAGACAAAAATCTTCTTCCTTACAAGGGCAATATAGGTTTTTCTTCCCTTTATATTTTTTTTTTTGGGGGGGGGTTCCTAAGCAAATAGTAGAAACCCTTTTCGGTCTGCCTCAGGGCAGCCTGAGGTGAGGATGCCATCGACCTGCACGTCCTTGCCGACCTCGTTCTGTGCGGTTGAGGGTTGAGGGTTTCGGGTTTGGGGGTTGGGGTTTAGGGTTTAGGGTTTAGGGTTAGGGGTTAGGGTTTAGGGTTGAGGGTTGAGGGTTTAGGGTTTCTGGTCAGCTGCACAAGCCCATAAGGATTCGGCTCGTGCTCCCGACCTTTGTGGGTCACTGGGTTCAGGGTTTAGGGTTTAGGGCTACGGCGCTTCTCCGCACGGAAATGCATCAGAGGATCAGACGTTGAGCTCAAGGTTTAGCGCAAAGTTCGCGGGGGGCTGGTCAAAACAAATAAGACATAGGCCGACATCTTCCACGTGGGAATCGCAAGCCACACCTTAAGGAATCACCCTAAGATTGTCCCCAAAATGCCTGCAGGCTTAGAGCCCGATCCTCAAAAGTCCCCCCACACAACGAATGCCGAGGCTGAACTGGGCTGTGGGCCCCGCCATAGACGGCGTCGCCACGCAAACCCAGCGCTTGCCTCTCACGGTAGACAAAGACTTATTTTACTAACTGGCCGTTAAGGTACCTAAATCTGCCCCGGACCTATCATTAACTTGGCGTCCTTCTTCTGGTTGAGCTTCTTATGGTAGCTTTGCTATTTTCCTCAACAGCAACACAGTCCTGGGTGTGTAGGGCTAGGAAGGAGGTTAAGGCTTGGGGTAAGAGGAGGTTCCAGGAAAAGCTGAGTGGCCAAGAACCTCCGCTCCCAGGTGTGAAGAGGCTCCCAGCCCCCCTCCCCCACCCGTTAAAGAATAGACTTCACACAACAGGCCCAACAATGGGTTTTTTACATTTCTGTAAACTTAGGTCATATGTCCTATAACCTATGATTTACTAAGTAAGTTTATCTCAAAAGCCTGGTCAGAATCTCAAGCCCAAGCCACGCATACAACAAACGAACGAAAGATGGTCGGCTGCCCAGGGTTCCTGTGGTTAGTAATTAGGCGGAGGTGGGATTCGAGCGATCATCCGTTTAGGGTTTAGGGTTTAGGGTTTAGGGTTTAGGGTTTAGGGTTTAGGATTCCTACATAGTTCTAGTACGAACACTACCCAAGATGCAGATTCTAGCGGCAAGAAAGGCTGCCTCGTACCCTGAATTCGTTTACGCTGTACGCACTCAAGCCAGATGTCTGGAAACCCTGGAACTGCTGGAACTGCTGGAACTGCTACCCCCAAACCCCACAACTACCAAAAACTTCCGAAACCGCCACACTCCACAAAACCCCAAGCCTAAACCCGAAATCCCCAACCCGAAAATTTCAATCAACTCCATAGGCTCTAGATCCGAACCCTAGGTCCTTTGGCTTCTGGCCTGATTGGAGGTTCGTGGGCAGAAGAAACTGTGATAGTTAACGCTGGCCACAAGCTGAATCCTTATTGATATCACTTGCAACTTATAAAGCTTGCCTCAGGCTACCCTTCCCTTTGTAGTGGTCACCGACCTTGCATGTGCGGTGGCTTGGGGCTCATCCCTAAACCGTATAGTGGGTTTAGCGTTTAGGGTTTAGGTTAAACCCTGAGTCCCTAAACTTTAAACCGTTTGAGCAACTAGCTGTGAATTCTGTGCACTTTGCGTATCAGACATGCTAGGCTCACTTCAAACAATTTGGCCGATATGACTACATTCAAAGGATGCTTAAGGATTGAGGGTTGAAGGTTTTCGTGTTTTTCTGTGCGTGGTGAGCTTTAAGGGCTTGCCAATGTAGGATTGAGGGGCTCCTCGGGGGGCTTCCAAAGGCCCTCAAACCAAATTCGCAATCCTTGGAGTAAGAAAAAGCACCTGTGGATGAGGTCGGGCCGCTGTCCGAGTAGGGTTTGGGGTTTGGGGTTTGGGGTTTGGGGTTTAGGGTTTAGGGTTTAGGGTTTAGGGTTGGCTCCAGAAAGCACTGTCAAAGCCCCCTCCCCCCCATGCCCGCCGGGCATTCCGCCAATGGCGCAGAACCCGCAAACTAGCCTTAACCGCTGCTAGCCCTTGCGCTACTGAAAGCCGGATCTTTAGTGCCAAACACCATATTAGGGTTTAGGGGTTAATATAGGGTTTAGGGTTGAAGGTGTAGGGTTTAGGGCCTAGGGCTTCTCGCCGCGGCGGCAGTAGATTCCAGGCTGAAATGGCGCCCCGACAGGTATGTCTCGCGGCGGTGCACTTTTCAAGTTAGGCCCCGCCCGCAACCAGAAAAGGTTGTTTGGTTCATTCTTCCCGTCCTGCTTACGCAGGCATCCACCCAACTTTTCTCCCATGAGGGCTTCGGGCTGATATCTCAGGAGAGCCTGAGGGTCCCAAGAAGTCAGAGTGGTGCCAGGGGGTCGCAGGCGGGACCTGGACGCGCTAGGGTTGAGGGACGACGTCCAGAGCCCTTTTTTGCCAACGGGTACAAGTCATTGGCTTGAATCACAGAAGTCAGAAGAGGTATGCCAAGATGGGTACTGCACCGGCACTGGAAGCGCAGCTCACGCTCAACACAACTCCTCAAGCTTGCATAGTCATAGTAGCTCCATGCGATGGTGTTAGTAGCTCTCAGGTGTAGTTCTGGGTCCAAGCACCTTAGAAAGGGGTGGGTACGGCCGAAGCAGGCCTGGGTCGGATTTAAGGCTGAGGGCTTTTGAGCTTCAGGGCTCTTTCAAGTTTTAGGTTTTAGCTTGGAAAGAAGCGGTCAACTGTAGCGGACAACTAGCCGACCTGAACTTTGCAACCTCAGCCTGCCAAAGCCATCAGATCCAAAACCTTACATCATCTATTTCAGCAGGGTAACAAGAGCGCAAGTCAGAAAACCCTAAACTCGAAGCCCTAGCAAGTGAAGCGCCCGATGCCATGGAGACACTTGGAAACTATCACTTGCAGTGGCAAGTGCGGTCTAGGGCTTAGGGTTATCCACGTTTCACGCAGCATGCATCGTTGCTAACTATGCTGTGCTTGCTGTGAAGGTAGCAGAGTGTTGTATGAGGAAGGATATCTTCGGCAAAAGAAAGTCCTAAACCAACAAAACCCAAACCCAAAACCCTACAACAAACCCAAAGCCTGACCTCAGACTCGCTTCCTGTCCCTGATGCGCGCCTGCGCAGCAAGCTCCCTCGTGGGCAGCAGCACCAGGCACACTGGACCTAAACCCTAAACCCTAAGCCCTAGACCCTATAGACCCTAAACCCTAAACCCCGAAATCAAATCCCTAAACCCTAAACGAGTTTCGGGCGCTGTGGAAGATTTGGGCTCGGGAGCTATGGGTTTGGGATTTACTTAGGGTAGACGGAAGGTAAAAGACTGGTTTAAGGATCGTAGGGTTCAGGGATTAAGGCTTAGCTGGGCCATCTCTCAGCTCATCTTGATTCATCGGATTTAGGGTTCAGCGGCCGCTCGGTGTTTGCTCCACTTAAGGGACGTATGAGCTTCGAACATTCTTCAGGTACCAGCACTTTTGGGCAGGCGTTTGGGTCACGCGTCATGATGCACACCTGCTACGAAAGGCCGAAATGATGCAAGCTGTGCCTGTCGCACGAAATCTCCAGAACTGCAAGACTCAAGACCCACACCGCAGCTCGCCGCAGCCAATCTGTAGCTTTTACACAAACACCTTTCGAACCTACACCGTTCCGTACCCCTGAGCAAATCCCCAACAGAAACACCCAAAATCCTCCTCCCTGAATCCTACCAATAGCCACGGAAAAGTCAACGAAACCCTCAGCCCTGAACCCAAACCCTGGATCCCATATAAGGATTAGAATGTATTCAAGCCCCGACCAAACCTACACAAACCCTACACAAGCCTAAGCCTGCTTACATAAACTACCCCAAATAAGTCCAATTCGCTCTGGCTTTCCTTCCGGCGCCCGGATTGCCCGGCGATGTGGACCCTGGGTCTGACGTTTTTTTCTTAATTGGTGTAGGATGTTGCAGTTTAGGGCTTCTGGGAGTGCAGGATTTAGGGTTCGTAGGGTTTAAGGTTCAAAGGGCTCATAGGGTTCATAGAAAGCACAGGATTCACAGGGTCCATGGACGGGTCTGAGATGTCAGAATCCAGTTGAAACATCGGTGAAGTCTACAGCGGGCCTTGGCAGCTGCTCAGGTTTAGGATGCGGGGGTTTCAGGGTTTAGAGAATGCTCGTGTAAATCTTCTTCCCTCGAGGCGGGAGCAAATCCCAACCCTGGAGATCAAAATCCATAGCTATTTTTCGTGCTGCGCCTGATGGGGTTTTCTGACAATAGATACCATCTATTTTGGGCGTTCTGCCCAACCAAAAGAACAGTGCTTTTGCTGTGGCGGGAGCAAAATAGATTTTGCATACGGTCCGACACAGCCCGTTTTTGTACAATAGATACGGATAGATACGAATCGATACGTAGAGATAAGAATAGATGCGTTTCGCAGTATAATAGGTACGATTTTTAGGTACTTTTGATACTCACCCAAAATACATATCTGTAGAGATATGTTTAGGTACGTTTTTTAGATACTGGCGTTATAGATGCGTTTCGATGCGCAAGGAAGAAATATACAACGGCATATCAAGATAGACAGAACTGACTGTGCATGTATGTATATGTATATATTTGCATATTTATTTATCTTTATATACGTATATATTTTGATATGTTTTGTATATAGATATATATGTCGGAGTTTGGGTTCCAACCCTAACCCATGCTTTTCAAAACGAAGATTTTTTGCGTTAAGGACGTCAGGAATAAATGCTACCTCACGACACAAGCCCCTAAATGTACCCCTTCGACAGCCCCGATCTCCTAAACGACCAAATACTAAACCCGTTAAACCACAAACCCAAAACCCCCCGAGCCCCTAAACCCCTACACCCCGAAACCCTCACTCGCCTGGACACCAGTACTTTGACCTAGAGCTTGTAGGTAGCATCAGCGACCATGTCTGAGTTTAGGGCTGGGGGCTCTCCTGCTGTCCGAGCGAGGGTTTTCAAGCACCGAAATGAAAATCACGGCCAAAATGTTGATTGACGCTGGCTGCCTAATTATCATTGATGGAAAAAGATACGAGTAGATACAAATAGATACACTTAGATACGAATAGATAACCTCGGCACGCTTCCAGCCCGAAGAGAACCGTGCGGTGTGCAAGATGTAGGACCGACGGAGGGCGCCGCCAGCTCGAGGTGCAGCACGGCCTCCGGGCCGAAGGCCGGCAGGGCTCTCGACCTTGCTGCCGGAGTAGGTGACCACGGCTACGGACCTGGTGGAGAGGTGCTGGAAGGACCGCCTGGCCGGGCCGGTCTCAGCGTGACTGGTAGTCACCTCATCCGCCAGCTCGGCATGGGGCGAGCCCCAAAACACCAGGTTGATTCGCGTGGCTTCGAGGCCGTACGCCGTGCGGAAGAAGGCGCTGCTCGTGTAAGCGTCCGCGCCCTCCAGCATCTTGGCTCCGCGGCTCATGAGGTAACCTGAATTCTCCGCCAAGGCCATGTAGGCCGGGATGCCCATGATGTC